TCGCCGTCGCCGCCGTCGCTGTCGGACCCGCCGTCGCCGCAGTCGCCGCCGCTGCCGTCGCCGCCGCCGCCGCCGCCGCCGCCGTCCCCGCCGTCGCCGTCGGACCCGCCGTCCCCGCCGTCGCTGTCGGACCCGCCGTCGCCGTCGGACCCGCCGTCGACGGACATGGGCGAGTGCTGCCGCAGAGGCGCGGGCTGGCCGCCGCCAGGCGAGTCGCCGCTGCCACCGCCCCCGCCGCCGTCGCACCCCGTGTTCGGGGGGGAGCCGGGCGGCGACGGCGCAACGTCACCGACGCGCGTCGCGCCGACGGGCGTTGGCGGGAGCGCGTAGTTGAGGAGCAGGGCAGAGGCGGCTGTCAACTGCGTCGTGGTCGCCGGCAAGGCGCCCATCGGAAAGCCGGAGTTCGAGCTGATCACCTCGGCGGCGCCTTTTTGATCGACGGCAAAGGTCGAGTCCCGGCCCGTGCCGTGGCAGCTGTTGGCGTACGCCAGTGGCGACCTGCGGTCGATCTCGACGAGCCGCCACCCCGGCGTCAGAGTGGGCTCGTCTGCGCACCACCCAGCACGGCGAAGCAGGATGCAGTACGCGGAGGGCGCCTGTCCGCCTCGCCCATCCCGGTTGAGCATCAGGCGTTCCGCCTCACCCCGCGTGCACTCGGTGGTCACCTCGTCGATTGTCTCTCCATCGAACATCCCCAGGAAGTCCGCCGGAAAGGCAAAGGTTTGGCCCGTGCGCGACCCACCGTAGTACAGGCCGAACTGGTGGGGCACGCCCAACCCCTTGAGCACGACGCACTCTCCCACGATCAGGATGTGCCCAGGGCCGTCGACGTGGTGGTACACGAAGCACCGTAGCGACGATCCCATCGCCTCGGAGGCTGGCATGGTCAGCGGTTGCATCTCGTACTCGCCGACGCGCAGAGGGCAAGCAGAGAACCGCGACGGCCCCACCCTCGTCGGCACGACGCGTGCGCGAGCCCCGCCCGCGCAGAACATGCCGTGCGTGCCGCCGGTGCGGCTGCCGGCCTGCTGGTCGGCCGGCCGGTGCATGCGCCGCTGTGCGCCCGGAGGCGGCGAGAGTGGCGAGGGCGAGGGCGGCGGCGAGGGCGAGGCGGCGCAGAACATGCCGTGCGTGCCGCCGGTGCGGCTGCCGGCCTGCTGGTCGGTCGGCCGGTGCATGCGCCGCTGTGCGCCCGGAGGTGGCGGGGGAGGCGGGGGCCCGCCGGCTTGGCCCGCCGCCGCGGCGGCGGCCGACGCCGCGGACGACGCGATCGCCGCATGCCACGCCGCCTCCAGCTCCTGCTCAAAGTCGCTCAACTCGTCCGAAAAGTACCCGTCTCGCTCGATCACACGAGCCGAGGCCGCCGCCGCCGCCGCCGCCGCCGCCTCCGCCGCCGCCTCCGCCTTCGCCGCCTCCGCCGCCGCCGCCGCCGCCGCTTGCGCCGCCGTGTTCTGTCGCAGCACGGTGGCGGCGGAAATGATCGAGGAAGGGAAGGGGCACGAATGCGTTGCCAGTCGCGCGGGCGGCGTCCTGGCGGGCGAGCCTCGAGGCGGAGGCGGTGCCGACCGCTGCTGGGGCGGGACGAGAGGGTGCAGCCGCCGCGGCTGCCGCTCGGAGGCGCCGCCAGCGCCGCCAGCGCCGCCAGCGCCGCCAGCGCCGCCAGCG